AAGGTGATGAAAGGTGGATGGGGGGTGTGGGGGAGTGGGATGAGAAGGGGAGGAAATGGGGGAGTGATCCCCACCGCCCCACACGGGTGAGGGGCGTGAGCACTTGTGTCACTGCGGTCACGTTGGCATGCCAGGATGACCATCGGCGTGTCCACGTGTGTGTCACTGCACTTCAGTGCCTGTAACCTCGGGGGGTGTCCCCACCACCGCATTCCTTCCCAAAATTACCCTACGCAAGGCAAAGCCCAGCCCTCCCCCATATTATGGCAGGCCCCGGGGGCCCCGGGGGGCGGAGGGGGGGGGTCCCCCCCTTCAGCCAAAGCCCAGGGAACGGGGACTTGGGGCTAAGCCCAAAGGAGGCTTTTTCAAACACTTTCAAACACTTGCTCAGTCAAGAGGGAAATGGAGAGACACTGTTCCAGGTCAAAACAAACCATCACCGCTATACAAAGCAAATCGCCTTTTAATACGTAACCGAACGCAGGCGGCGAGTGCCGGGCCCTCTTTTTCTCCTCGGCATCATCCATCTGCCGACAGCCATACAAAGAAATCACAAAGCGTAAAATGAGACACCACCATGAAAACAGACGTTACATGCCCACACACGACGTACGAAGAGGTAAGACCCAAGTAACAGCACCAAGGGTCCCTGGGCCCCAACCAGCGTGCCCCCTCCCCAAGGCGCACCTCTTTGGGATCGGGACCCCCTGGGGGGTGATTTTGGGACCACTGATTTGTAAGGCTCTGTATCACGGCCGGTCAGCTCCTTGCCCCATCCTAGGTGCTCCTCCAGGTTGCTTCGGAGGGGTGCAGGCACGTTTCCAGCATTGCTCCACTCCCAGCCTGCGGCCAGGAGCTCGACCCTTCCTAAACCCCATCTTGCCACCCCGGGAGCCCTGGCACAGCGAGGCAAAGCAGGGCACAAAGGAAGAGACCCAAGGAGATGAGGCCACCCCACGCCGGGGCATGGGCAGGCTTGCTGCTGGGCCAGCCCCGTGCTGATGACCTGATGTTACTCGCTTGGGAAACACGGACTTAATACTGCTGTGAGAGGCAGACGTGATGCTCAGGGTGAGGGGTGCAAGGGTCGGGGTATGATGTGGAGGTCCCCAACCACTCTGAGCAAGCTGGCTTGCCACATCTGGTCTTAAATCAACCCCTCCCCACCCCATCATTGCTTTTTTTCCTGTGGGTTTCAAGAGAATTTGCCCCGTGGTGGGGGGGAAAAAAAAAAAATTAAAATCACATTAAGTTAAAAAATAAAAAAGAAAGGTAATTCAACAAAGTAGTTTTGCTGGGCTCCAGGACAACAGTTTGAAGGGCACAAAGTTGATCTGAGGCGTACAGTCTCCTGCTGTAAGGGAGGGTCACAGCCTGGTACCCACTTCTCCCAAACTCCCCGGGAAGGCTGCTGAGGAGCCCAAAATCCCAAGCTCTCACCAACTCCACCTCCCACAGAGACACTTGAAATGCTGCTGAGCTTCTCAAAGTGCCTGGTAACATCCCCTTTTCTAAAGGAATCGGGTCACCTTGGGGCTCAGGAGGAGAGGAGATGGGGAGCAGAGGGGCTCGGGCAGGCTGAGACGATGCAGGGGACCGACCAGCAACGTGACAAGGGTGGTCCACACACACAGGCGATGAGGAGTCCACACTGCATCAAGAAACAGCAATTCAGTGGGCTGTTGTAAGGCCAGCAGGTCTGTCTGCAAGAGGTCAGGAATGCGTGGACTGGTAAGCAGGGGGTCCCTTCCTTGACCCTAAGGGTCTGACAAACCTCCCTGCTGGCAGGACTGCATCTCCCTGAAAGACTTTTCATGGAGGGAAGAAAAAAAAAAAAGCACAAAACACTTCATCCTAGGGTGCCTAAAAGCGCATTTCGGGCACTGGAAGACAAAATCCTGAGCAACCAGGAAGCATGGGGCACCGCTCACAGGTGTGTACAGCCAGAAGGTCTCGTAACTGCTGCTGGCTTTTCAAACTGTGCCTCCTTGTTCAACAGTGAGGGTTCAAAACAGGCTGCCCACAATTGATGCTGTGCCTGCATCCCCCCAGCACGACCCCTCGCTCCCTCCGTGTGAACTGGTACTCCCCTCAGGTCCTGCAGCCCTCACACCGCACCTTCAGCTGGACCTCGCAGGCACAGAGCGGCTGCCCACCCACAAACGATGCTGGTGGGAAGCCTGAGCCCTGCTCAGAGGAGGGGGGTGCTCCTGTACCCACCTTCGCAGGGAGAGTTGCTGAGCACCTCAAAACAGAGCCTGGTGAGGAAGGCGACGCTCCAGTGTGGCTCTCACTGGGGCAAGGCAAAGCACCCAGCTGCTGGGGAAGGGATATTTTAGAGGCATCCCTAAAAAAGCCGCTCTCATGTCCAAAAAGGTTATTTCTGTACTGGAGCTCAGGCAGCAACACGTGATCCACCTGGTGGGTGCTGGGACCCGTGCTGGACCCCAACAGGAGTCCGCTGTGTTGTGCCGGACCTGCCCCACCACATCTGTGAGGAGCTGCCCCAGCCTGCAGGAGCCATGGCTGGTGCTGCATGAACCACTTGTGCGGCTCCCCCTCCCAAGAAAAGCTGGGCTCCGTGGGGAGTATCGGGGGCTGTTTGGGGACGACACCATCCCCTGGCAGCGGGCTGACTCCTAAGGGCGCTGGTGCACGTGCAGGGAGAGCGGCCTCCTCATCGCAGAGGTCCCCAGCCACGGAGAACAAG